GCGTAGATACAGTCCCTTTGCTTCTGGTGACCTAGAGGACCATTTAAGAAGGCGCGACTCAATAGTATTTGAGTACGTGCGGTTGTGTAGATGCAAAACCGCATCACGAGACAGAGCTGTATCACTAGACAAGGGCCTGTTCAGACACCTGCAAATATGCCACGATCCGTCGGCATACTTATACAGTAAAATGAAACTTGATCTTGTGGGTTTACTCGCAATATGCTAGTTGTTGTCTGTCGCAAAGATATATAATCCTTCAGGTGTCTAAACAGGCCCTTGTTCAGTCCTGCCTATTGATGCGTTTTTGCATTCATGCAACCGCAGGTGCTCAAATACAATGGTGTCGTGGCCTGCTTAAATGGTCCTCTAGATCACTAGAAACAAAAAGACGGTGCTTACGCCGCTTCAATCCGGTGTCAAAAGCTGAAAAGGATTATATATCTTTGCTGCTCTATCAATAACTAGCAGTATGCCTGTCAACCGATAAGACGATAAGATCGGATTTTATTTTTCTGTGAATCCGGAAAGTTCACGGACGGAGGTTCACCGACCGGCAAATTTGCCGCATGGCAAATTCACCAACCCGCAGTTCGTCGAAAGGAAAATTCACCGATTCCACAACTGATCGCCAATGATTTATTTATTAAAATTTTTTATTACGATATAAACAGGTTTCTACCAAAAATTTAAACAGCATTATTTAGAAATGGCATATTTGAAAGATTATGTTAATGAGCAGAATGATTACCATAATATTACCTGCTCGCATAAAAACAAATTTTATCTAATGCATTTATTTAGAAATAGCATATTTGAAAAATTGTTAATGAGCATAATAATTACCATGCTCCATCCCTATATAAAGAAAAAACAAAGAGGTCAGTTTCAAAAAGTTCTTCAAAGGTGATACTTCAGGTAGAATTTTCATTCAGAATTTTCATTAACCATCATGAGCCTTCAGTTCGACACGATTGAAAAGGGAAAACAGAAACTTTTGATGGGCGGTCACTTATTTTTCAAAGAAAAACAAACTGACAAGACATATTGGAAGTTTGAGATGTATCGGAAGCACAGTTGCCGGGTTCGTGTTATAACAGTTCGAGATGCCATTGGCGCCGTGAAGGGAGTTCACAACCATATTGGGGATGCAGCTCATATAGAAGCTTTGAAGATGGAAGATATTGTACGAGATCGTGTAGTAAATAGCCATGAAGCACCCCAATATATTATGTCTAATGCGTTGGTGGGACTTAGTCAAGCTACTGTAGAGCATATTGTGAAAACCGACAGTATCAAAAGAAGGATACGAAACGTCAGAATAAGGAAACAAGCAGCATCAACTTTGCCTATGACCTGACAGGAAATTGTATTTCCCGAAGAGTACAAGATAACTAAAGGGGGTGAACCGTTCTTGCACTTTGATTCAGGACCGATGGAAGATAGAATTGTTATATTTTCCACCGCAAGAAATCTCTGGATATTGGCCTCATCTGAACATGACATGGATTGGGGGACGGAATTTTGAAACAGTGCTTCATTTATTTTGCCAACATGCTCCATGGATTCACGTTAACAGTTCCAATTCCGCTTTTGTATGCTTTACTACAAGACAAAACAGAGGCCACACATGTTAGGTTATTACAGTAAGTAAAACAGCTTCAACTTTATGCCTCCCCTGAAACAATTATGACTGATTTCGAACCTGCCATAGACAATGCTATTCGTCAAGAATTTCCAAAGGCTAGTCATCGAGGATGTTTCTTCCATTTCTCGCAGTGCATATTCCGAAGGATTCAGGCAGAGGATCTTCACAGAAGGTATGAAACTGAAGTCGAATTTGCAGTGAAAATGCGATTGTTGTTTGGATTGGCTTTTTTCCCAACAGATGTGGTGGAAGCATTTGAGGTTCTTAGCGGTGGCTGTGATAACACGTCTGAAGAAGCACAAGAGGTGATCGATTACTTTGAGGACTGCTGGATTGGACGTCCTCAACGACGCATGAGACACCGAATGCCCGCTCCGAAATGTGGAAGTGTCACGAAAGGGTAAGACACCGTCTTCCGAAGACAAATAATT